AACCTCCTCCTTCCTCCTCCCCCTCCTCCCCTCCCCTCCTTCCTCCCCTCCCCTCCCCCCTTTCCCCCTCCTCCTCCTCCTCCTCCTCCTCCTCCTCCTCCCCCTCCTCCCCCACCCTCCTCCTCCTCCCCCCTTCCTCCTCCTCCCCCTTTCCTCCTCCCCCCCTCCTCCCCCCTCCCCCTCCCCCTCCTCCCCCCTCCTCCCCTCCCCTCCCCCCTCCTCCTCCCCCTCCTCCTCCTCGCTCTTGACAGATGGACAGCTCCCCCCCTCCCTCCACCCTCGTTTACGTCACCAAAGGTCAGCTCTTATCAGATTTTTATCCCCCCCAAATCTTGTCACGTCAGGGGGGTAAAACTTTTTTCCCAATGCCTCAAGGGAACATTTTTAATTATTATTTGGTTTTATTATTCTTTTTCTTTTTCCCTTTTTCCCTTCTTCTTCTTCTTTTTCCCTTTCCCCCTTTCCCACCTTCCTCCTCCTCCCTCCTTCCTCCTCCCCCCCTTTCCTTCCTCCCCCCCTCCCCCTTTCCCCCCCCTCCCTCCTTTTTTCCTCCTTCCCTCCTTCTTCCCTTTCCCTCCCTCCTTCCTCCTCCTCCCCCCCCAAACCTTTCCTCCCCCCCTTTTTCCCTCCCCCTCCTTCTTCCCCCTTTCCCCCCCCTTTTCCTCCTCCCCCCCTTCCTTCCCCCCTCCTCCCCCTTCCCCCCCCTTTTCCTTCCTTTTTCCCCCTTTTCCTTTTCCTTTTTCCCCCCTTTCCCTTTCCCTTCTCCTCTTCTTCCTCCCCCTTTCTTTTTTCCTCCCCTCTTTTTCCCTCCTCCCTTCCCCCTCTTTTTCCCCCCCCCCTCTTCCTCCCTCCCCCCTTTCCCCCCTCCATTGTTTTTTGGTCTAAAACTCCTCAAAAATCATAAAAATTGATCTTAAAATTGGGAAAACCTTCCTCTTGTTAGAGCATAAATTTGGGGGAAGAAAAAGAGTCCCAGATTTAAAGGGGAAGTCACATTTTTCCCTTACCCTAGACATGCTAAAAAAAGGAAAGGGCCCTAAAAATGGTTTATTCCCACAATGAAACCATCCCCCCCCGATTTTTTTTTATATGGGCACACTGACCAGGGAGACCCATTTTTTTCCCCACAGGGTGGGCCTACCACTTTCCCCGGCTTGATTTGAACCCGCTAAAATTTTATGCGTAGTCAAACAGGGTTTTCCCCCTAAAACCGTACTTTTATAGGGACCCGACAGTAAAAAGGGTTAAAACTTCGGGTTTCCCAGGAAGGGAAATTAAATTTTGTTTTTTAAACATTATTTTTTTTGGGGGAAAATTGAATTGCAAATCGAAAATTTTCCCTTTTATCGTAGCTCCTCCAGGAATGGTTTAAATTTATGAAAAATGAGGGCCCAAATTTAAAAAAGGAAAAGTAATAAGACCAAAAAATTATTAAGATAAAATCAAAGAAAATCGATGAGTGTGAAATAAAAAAAAACATTTTATATGTATGTGTATTTGACCAAAGGGTGTAAGTAGAAGTGGGAAAAGGGACATCCCTGAATCTTGCATTTTTTGGGGAAAACAGACAAAATCTAAACCCTGTTTTTCCCTTTTTGTTTTTTTTTAAATTGTTTTTGGGATATTTGCTATTTTGGCCCAGGGGCTGTTTACCCTTTTTTTCTATGATCTGTTTTTTTTAAACTGGGCAGTGTTTTTTTATAGAGGTTTAAGGGTTTTTTTAAAAAAAATTTCGTATCTTTATTGATTTTAAATTACTGCCAATTGAAGGAGAGGTTAATCATAAAATTGATGAGGGAAAAAAGGTAGTAAACCGTTTTGGGTACATGGGGAAAGTCAAAAAACTTTTTATCTAGGGGGAGGAAAAAAAGGGAATGTATGAAAAGAAAAATACCCAGTCCCAAACACTCTTAAAAGGGTGTAAAACCCCTTGGGGTTGTAAATGCAGCGGGCGAGGGGGTTGGATGGGGGGCAGGGGAAAGATGTCCTGTCTAAGGGAAGTGTTGGTGTAAATTTTTTATGCGGGAAAATTCGGAGTGGGGGAAAATTAGGAGAAGGGGGTGGATTAAAAAAAGAATTAGTAAAGAGGGCTGAAGGGGGGGTTTTGAGGGGGGTTTTGGGTTTTAAATTTAGAGAGAATGGATCAAACTAAATGACATAGGGGGACTTTTAAAATCTTTTAGGAAAAGGGAAAGGGGTGGGGTGGGGTTTCTTTCCTAAAAAAGGGTTTTGGGAAAGGGGAAGGGGGGTAAGGGGGTTTTGGGGGCGAGGGGCTTTGGGATTTCCCCAGCAGGCTTTGCTTTGGGTGTTCGATAGGAGTGAATGGAGACAAATTTGGTATTTGGGCCCCTTGACGTCTTTTGGAGGGGAAAGCGGGTTTAATATTTAGTGAAGGATTAAAGGGAAACCAGTTATTTTTTTTATCCCCGGGGACTTAAAGTCCGGGAAAAAGGGAAAAATAAAATTCCCTGCATTTCTAAAGGGGGGTTTTGGGAAAATTACCCATTTTTGGGGGGGATAGGGTTTTGTATTTTTTAAAACATATATCCCTTCAAAAAACTTTTTGTGTTCTGGGGCACCTCTGAAAAAAACAGTGTTTATGTGTGGGTGAGGTGAAAGTGTTGAATGATGAAAGTTTTTTTCTTTTTGGGATTTTCTTTTTTTTTTTGGGGTCCCCTTTGTCTCGGGGGGGGGGGAAGGAACGGCCGACTTGTTGAAAAAAAAAAAAAAATTAGCTCTCTCTTCCAAACAATGGCACCCGAGCTAGTTTTAGGTTGTTTTATCGATGTCCCATCATGCAGGCGAAATGAGATCTTTCTTTTTTTTTTGAGGCAGTTTAGAAAATTGGTTAAAGAGAAGGGTAGGATAGTGGGGCCCGTGGTGTTATCTTGATTTACTGCTTGTAGGGGGGATATTATGTTGGTTTCCCGGGTATGGTTTGAGTAATGAGGCCCCTAGTGTCAGAGATTTTTGTTGGCCCTTTTTTATAGTGGGGTAGCAAAAAGCTTTGTTCATAAACATTTTGGGAAAACAACTACTGGGGGGGTCGGTTTGGGTTGGATAAGGGTTTATGTTGAATTTTCCTGCAGTATCAATGGTGTTTTATGAAAAAAACCCTTGACTCGGTTATTTGTTTTTTTAAAAGGTTATTGCTAAAATTTGTAAATGTTTGAGTATGGTATTCTTTAGACTGCAAACCCAAATGCCCAAAAGGTTTCTTAAGTGTTTTTTATGTGGGGTTTAAATTATTACATATTCAGCGTTTTTTTCCCCCTTACATTAGTTGAAATTTTACAACCCTTCTTTGTTCATCAGAGTTAAAAAGTTTGGCAGTGCCCCCCCCCTGAATTTTGGGCAGGCCTACCCGTTATGTAAAGGTGGGGTAACCAGGTATGGTAAATATGTCCCTTTTCAGATCTTTGGGCTGACCCCGGTTTTTAGTAAGTATAATGAGAGTTATAGTGGCATTTGGAGACTTAAATAGTTTCAATTGAGTCATCATAGTGTTTACTCAATGACTAAAAATTGTAGTTGAAGACTGTAATGTTTTTTGCTGACACGAAAGGGTATTAGCCTTACTAGAGTTTTAGTAATGGCAATTACTGTTTGGGCCATGTGTGCCCGTTCAATTAAAAGGGTGATATCCGGATCGAAACTTACATTTTATAAGGGGTTTCGTAGAGAAATAAAACCGTTAAAATTATTAAAAAACAAAAATTCAAAAAATTAAAGTAAAATTGCCAAAAATTGAAATTTAAAAGGGGAAAATCGCCGATGTGCTGATTTCAGCAAAAAATTTTTGAAAGCGTTAAATTTTTGTGAATTTTTTCCCTCAAAATTTTCATACTTTTTGTTTTATTACGTTTAAAAAAAATTCTCTAAACCCTTTCATAAAAAAAAATAACCCAAAATTTTTGTGAAAAATTTTTGGGCCCCTTTTGGGCCCAAATTTTTCCCTATCGGAGAAACTGGAAACCCTTTAAAGGGTTAAAAGAAAGAAAAAAAATGAAATTTAGATAAATTATCAATTTTTTTAGATTCTAAAAATTTGGGGAAAAAAAGGTCACTTTATTGGCGCATCAGGAAAAAATTTTAAAAGCAGTATTTTTGTTTTCCAAAAATTTCTTTTCAATTATATTTTTTCAATGTTTAAAACTTTTACAAATATTTGTTGTGACAGTAAATGTGCTTGACGGTATTTTCTTTTAATCATGCCCGAGAAAAAAACAGCACTGTACTTGAAAGTTTTTGACAAAGTAACCCTACCTGCTGTTAAGACGGGATTATACCTCACCATTCGACTTTCGAAACCCACGCGACATATGAAACCCCTGCATCTGGCAGCAGGGTGCCAGATGCAGCAGTATAAAAAAGGTGCTTTATTTACAAGTTTTGCCCACAATAAGTAGAGGTATAGTAGTAGTTTTTCATTTTGGGGGAAAATCGCTGGTACAGGAAAAGAAAAGGTTACAAGCTATGGTTTGGGTAGCATAAAACCTATTTTGTATGCTACGTAAACCATAGCTTTTGTAACCTTTCTTTCTCTTGTACCAACTGCAAATGTTCTATGACTTAGATAGCATAAAAATAGGTTGGGCAAAATGTATATGGATGGATAGATTTGAGAAGGCATGCCCAATTTGGGCCAGCAGGCCTGCTGCAGTGTTCCTCCTTTCTTATGTTCTTATGTAATAGAGAAAGGACACTGAAACATTCTTTACAAGATTAAGATTTAATTTTTGAAGTATCCCTATTGGCAATTTTCTAAGGTTTGATTTACGTCCATTTTGACTTACGACCGGTTGGTCGGAACCAAGCTCGGTCGTAAGTCAGGTTGTACCTGTATAGTACATATTACAATGCCTCCTGGGTATCTGATTTTTCCTGGGTAAATCTGAGGTCTAGTCTTCCCATTTGTTTTTATGCATAGTTTTTATGCATAGATATATCTTACAGATATATTTATTTTTTCTGCTCTATTAACTGAGTGTACTTGGCAGGACTGGTAGTAACCCAGACACAAGTGAGATGGATGAGAAGCCTCATTCTTCACCATCATCATCCTCTCCACCTTCCATCCAAACTGCAGCAGATGTCTCTCTTGATACTCTCAGACGTAAAAAGCAACCAGCGCCTCTTGTACGAGAAAGGTATGTACAAGTCGAGCACGTCTGATCTCTTGCCTTCAGTAGGTTTATACACATGATCTGTCTTTTATTTTTGAACATACTGGCTGTCTCCCACCAAAGTACGGGTGACCTGAGAAAGAAGAAACCTTTACTATCACAGTTTTGCCAGATTTGCACCAATACCACAGTTCCGATGCCCCTCCAAACTGCAAAATCCCCACCCCTCCTTCAGAGTGTAAGCACTCTACTTCCAATCTCCATCTCATAAAAGCCACTTTCCACTCAATTCTATCTAACACACTCACACATACCTGTTAGATATCCAAGTTCCTTGCTTACAATGTAGATAAAATAAAGAATTTTATTTCTTTGCCATGTTTATAATATTTGATTAATATTTTGATTTGTTAAGTACAAAGAGAGCCACTATCATGCCAGGGGTATTTCGGGAGGACTGAACTTGATGCTTACAGACTACATAATACTAATGTTTTTGAGAAGAGTAAATTTTTATTATACATCATTTTTTCTTATTACAATAGAGGTAACTAGCTGTTTACAGTAATTAAATTTATAGTTGAGATGAAGTACAGTGGACACTCGCCTAACGATATTAATCCATTCCCGAGAGTTCATCGTTAGCCAAAATTATTGTTAGCCAAATTAATTTTCCCCATAAGAAATAATAGAAATAAAATTAATCCGTTCCTGACACCCCAATGTATGAAAAAAAAATTTTACCACATGAAATATTCATTTTTATACACCCAAAAAGAAGAAGACATGCACAATTACTACTCTACTAAATAAAGAATACATGACACTTACCTTTATTGAAGATACTATAGTGATGATTGATGGGATGGGAGAAGGGGAGATGGTGGAAGTTGTTATTTTTTGGAAGGGGAATCCCCTTCCATGAGGACTTGAGGTAGCAAGTACCTTTTTCCGTGGTAACTTCCTTCTTCTTTTAATGCCACTAGGACCAGCTTTGAGAAGTCACAGGCCTCTGTCGCACAACAAATCTTGCCATAGCGCTCTGTAACCTGAACCTTGCGTTCCTTTAAGATTTGCCTAAAAATGGGCTAGAGCATTGTCATTGTGTAATAGTCACCATCACATACTGCAGTAGCTGTGTTAGGTGGATTTTAACATGCATAAAGGTTTGTATTCAACCGTCACTTGCACACATTTCCTAATCTCCCCTTTATTATTTTTTTCAATATCCATACAAATTCTCACCCTTTTTACCAAAGGGTTGGCACAGAAGCATTCTTGGGGTCCATGGTGACTTATTTTGCAGTTACAAGCACAAAAAACACTGGGATAATGTGAAATGTACTGAATGTATGCATAGCTGCGACCACACTGGCTAGCTTGTAAACACTGGCGCCCACATGGCAGCGTGGACAGGTCCTGGACGAATCACGTTGGGCGAGTTTTTATTCGTTAGGCAGGGCCAAATTTTTATGCTCAAACACTTCGTTAGGCGGATTTAACATTATGCGATGCGTTCATTAGGCGAGGGTCCACTGTATATAAAAAATTACAGTATTACAATTTAGCACAATTTACAATAATTGTTAACGAGCTTATTTGGGGATGCTGCAGCGGAGCGGGTTTCAAAGATACGTGTTTTCCAGGACACGATCTTTTAACTGTGGTATCTCCTGGGGTGCCCATGGCCATGTTTAAGGTCCCGCATTGCCCGGAGGGCCAATGGCCACGATGAGATAGGAGTCACCCTTTTGACCTGAAGACAAGGTAGCTGAGTGAGTGAGAGAGTGTGACCCGTCCCGCTGACCAGGGCGAGGCCAAGAGAGGTCAGCACCTTAGTGCCCCGCAAAATATGACTATCTGTGCAACAGCATAGGCTGTCAGTGCAGGACATTACAAGGCTGTCTACATTTGCTCTGCCACTTACCTCACGTCGACCCGACGCGAACAATACTGGTGGTAAAAAAAACTCAGTCTCAACGTCTCGTAGGAACGATGGCCCCAGACACAAAATAAAAACATGTACACATTATACAAATGGACATGGAAAAAAAAAACTTCCTACAGGTGAGGAAAAAAAAAACATGTGGATGTGCTAAGCACGGGTCGATGAGCAGTTAGCATAGAGGGTCATCACTACACGCCTTCCTGCATCTCTGGACAGATACTGCAACACAGGAGACATCGCGCGGCTGAGCGTGACGGAACAGGGTACGGTCTCCACTAGAACGGTGGAAGCAGTCCCATCGTAAGGTCCTGCAAACGTTTCACTCAACCTGGGCACCGGCATGCGGTGCCCACAGAGTGATCGTCGTCAAGAAACTCAGCAACTGGCAGGACTTCTAGCAAGCGACTTCGGGATGACATTCATGACGGTACTGTCGCTGGGCTGTCACTGCCAGCGAGCGTGGAGTGAGTCATGGCAGAGACGACTGGGCGAAACATCTGGGAGTTGTAGCATCATACACCAGACTGCAGTGAGCGAGCTAGCAGTCAACGTGACATCATCTTTGTGCAGGAGCTCACTGAAGCTATGACACGAGGCTGACACAGTGCCTGCCAACAGGGCTAACTGCGGCTTGACAAGTGTCATTGTCTCGGCAGTTTAAGTTATAGCAGAGGTTAGTCTAAGCATCCCCAGACTTGTCTCTCTACATATAACTGCACTCTGAACGTCTGGAGGTGAAATGAAACAAATTTCGATGGGAATCGTACAGGTACGATTCAGCAGAACATCTATGAGCGACAAGCATAAGAGTTTTCTGTACAAGGGGCTCACACACTCAGGGCTGACTAATATCAGCTGTCAAACATGCTGGTCACACCAGGTGACAACACAAGGTGCTACACAGGGGTCTGGCCGCAGACCTGTGGTCGACACACAGCTGGGCTCAAGACCACACAGGACACATGGAAAACTTTACACACACCTGTGGTACATGCGGTACAACTTGACTTAAACTAGCAAATGATGCTTTTCTGTGCACAAAATTGACACTAAGCCATACACGAACATGTGAGAACACTGACTGAGAGGAATTAACACACGACATATATAAACCATACCACGGGCGGGTTCAAATCCCGCCCATGGTATGGTTTGTTTGCAATCGTGTAATTACGATTTCGTGAGACACGACATATATCTTCTCTCAATCTTCTCGACAATACTGACGTAATTACTGAAACACTCGATATGACATCATGTGATGTCGCGAGGTGACATCAGCAGCACTGTGACGTCAGCAGACATCTTGAGGTGATGTCAGGAGACATTGTGACGTCGTGAAGTCGGGCAACAGCAGACCACAGCATATGGCCTGGGACATCTGGCTCGGTAACTCATGTGGCTCTTAGATCCGTGTGGCATCGTCCACACCCCACGTGGTGTCGTGATCTACGTGGCATGCTGATCCACATAGCTTCAAGTGGCCTCTGGCACTTGGATAAACAGCTCTGGCAATGAATTCACATGGAAAACAGCAGAAAGCACAGCAGAGAGAGTGGGCAGAGGTGAGTGGTGTACACAAGCTGTGAGTGTGGATGAGTGGCGATGGTGGAGGACCGCGCGCCTACGTTCCTCATCCATTTAAACATGGGAGAAGCACTCACACTTGTCGCAGAAATCACCACAAAACTCACCTCTAGCTTGCTGAAATAGTTGTGCTCAGCTGAACGTGGGGTGGTGTGGGGGTGGTAGGGGGTGGTGGGGGTGGTGAGGGGTGGTAGGGATGGTGGGTGGTGTGGGGGGTGGTAGGGGATTGGTGGGGTGGTGTGGGGGGTGGTAGGGGATGGTGGGGTGGTGTAGGGGGTGGTAGGGGATGGTGGGGGTGGGTGGTGGGGTGGTAGGGGTGGTGCGGGGGGGGTGGTAGGGATGGTGGGTGGTGTGTGGGGTGGTAGGGGATGGTGGGGTGGTGCCGGGGTGGGGGGTAGGGGATGGTGGGGTGGTGGGGATGGTGGGGTGGTGTCGGGGTGGTAGGGGATGGTGGGGTGGTGTGGGGGGTGGTAGGGGATGGTGGGGTGGTGCCCGGGTGTGGTAGGGGATGTGGGGGGTGGTAGGGGATGGTGGGGTGGTAGGGGATGGTGGGGGGTGTGGGGATGTGGGTGTTGGGGATGGTAGGGGATGGTGGGGTGGTGTGTGTGGTAGGGATGGTGGGGTGTTAGGGGTGGTAGGGATGGTGGGTGGTGTGTAGTGGTGTGGGGTGGTGTTGGTATGTAGGGGATGGTGGGGTGGTGTGGGGGTTTAGGGATGGGGAGTGTTGGGGGTGGTAGGGGAGGTGGGTGGTGTGGTGGTTATTAGGGATGGTGGGGTGGTGTGGGGGTGTTTAGGGGATGGTGGTGTTGGTGTGGGGGTATTAGGGATGTGGGGCGGTGTGGGGTGTGGTATGGGGATGTGGGGTGGTAGGGGAGGCTCCCTCTGTTACACAACAAGGTGGTTGCTTGAGCAAAAGAGGATTAATTATATGACGTGTTACATAAAATTGTACAGCAATTCTTCAATGGCGATCTACTGTATTGTTATATTAGCGATACAGCTTCAGTTCTCTAAATTAATAATAACAATAATAATAATTATAATATATTATAACGATAGAGCTTCAGTTCCCTAAATTATTAATAATAATAATTATTACAATAACGATAGAGCTTCAGTTCCCTAAACTAATAATAATGATAATTATAATAATGGTAGAGCCTCAGTTCCCTAAATTAATAATAATAATTATTATAATAATGATAGAGCTTCAGTTCCCTAAATTAATAATAATAACTATTATTATAATAATGATAGAGCTTCAGTTCCCTAAATTAATAATAATAATAATAATAATAATGCATAATACATACTACTAATAATTCAGATTGCTTCTGCTAGTTGGCACAGCTGGTAAGCAGTAATCATGTTTACATCTCTGTGGTGGCAGTTCTCTCATGCTTGTTTGCATTTTTTAGAGTCATTTGGGGATATTTCTTTTTTCTAACCATGGGTCCTAGTGATCTGCTGCAGTTAGGCTCAAAAGTACTCTGTTTTCTCTTAGAGTAAGAACATGGGAAGATACTATAGTCAAATTGTGACAGAAATGGCTGACGCTTCTGCTGCAGCTGCCTCTGCCACCATACTATGGTCTATTTTGTTCTTTCTTGAGTATATATCATGTTTCTGTGCTAATTTTATTTTTATTATGACATATTAGATGAATTGTGTTAGATAAATAAGCCGTACAGTTGATAATAGCGTTATATTCAAGTATTTTTTCTTGTCTCTCCAGAGTGCAGAATGAATTAATGCCTTTTCAATTAATTTAAATGAGGAAAATTAATTTGATATACGAGTAAATTGAGTTACGAGCTAGCTCCTGGAAGTGGATTAAACTCATAAGTCAAGGTTCCACTGTATTTCCATTATTGCTGTCAGCAATATTATTGCTGACAGCAATAATATTGACGGCCGACTTGTTGAAAAAAAAAAAATATTGATTGGCAGACAGCAATATTACTATTGTCTGCCAATCAATGTCACCTAGTGCTAATATTAAATTATATACTGATGACTCATCACGTAGGCAAAAGGAGATCATTCTTGAGTATTGAGGCAATTTACACAAGTTAGTTATGAGTAAGGTTGGGTAGTGGTTTGTAACATTGTCCGTGATAATACAGTGGAACCTCAGCTTACAAATTTAATCCGCTCCGTGACCTTGTTCGTATCCTGATTTGTTTGTATGCTGAGTCAATTTTCCCCATTTAAATTAATTGAAATGGCATTAATCCGTTCCAGCAGAATTCCTGCTCTTAGGAGGCACAACAA